CCCACATGGCAATTTCACATTTTTTCTGCAGACACATGTGACTTTAGCTACACGACTTGGGAAACTATTAAACTACAAACAAAAATCCCAAACCTAGCACCCTGGGCAATAACTCTGTGCCACTATCATTATGGTAATGCAGTTACAAATATGAATGCATTTATACAGTCTCTATATAAGCAAAGACTTCACAGAAGCAATGTGGCCTGAAGAAAGAGCCCTTTACTTGTACTTTTAATACAAGCTGAAGACAAATAGTGCTACTTTAATCAGGTTTGAGTCCAGTGTGGCCGGTCAGGACTGATCAGGGCAGAGTAGAGCATGGACAATGTTAAAGGTTCACTGCTCATTGATCAAACAGCTTCACAACCAGGCTCATGTACAACAAGTTTTTAGCCACTATGGCAGAAAATGGTGCATGTAGTCTGTTTGGTTTATTTTACTATTCTCAAGCTGTAAGTATTGTTTTGGCACAGTGCTGATAAGGTGCCATGGACAGTACATATTCAGACCTTAAGAGCCCCAAAAAGTCAGCAAGAATTGTCTGTTGCCTTAGTGTATGAAATAATATGTTTTCTTTTCTATATTCTATAGTGAATTTATCGATACACAGTATTTTCACATGACAGTGAAGTAATTTTCAAACTTCAATCAGTGAGGTTGTCTTTTGGGGGACACAGCAACAAATCTTTTTTTATTAATAATATATTTTTTTAAACTAGTAGTTAAAATTCTGAACCAAGATATCTGATGTAAAAAAAAAAATGTGTCAGTACTAAATGATGCCTGTCTCTTACACAGGTTCTGACATTTTAACTAAATATGTTTAATTTGATATGAAGCAGAAGATATAATGCCAGAGTCATATCATAACACATACATCTGTAAATAAGTCAAAAACCTCCCTCACAAACCGAATAGTCAGCAAACAGTCCACAGAAGCAGATTTCCAGAATAGATGAAAACCCTCTCAATAATTGATGTGAATCTGATGTATGTTGCGAATATTGTTCGGCTAAGGGGTCTGATCGCGTGCCACTGCCTGCTCTGCCCTCTCTGACTCTCTTTCACATTCGCATACTAACTCTAACCACACCTCATTCTAAAACACGACAGAGAGCGGTGTGCGATGAGGGAGGAAGTATAAATTATTTACTGAAATTTTTATTCCAAAGGTCCATTCACCTCTGATTGTAATTCTCAAGATAATGCTGTGAAACACAAATGCAGTATATCGACAAGTCAAGACAGCTATAGGTTCAGAAAATGCATTTTGTTTTCTCTTGGCAGGTAAATATGAATCAGGAATTACTGAAAATACTGAATCAACTCTTGAATTGATAAGTTCGCTGTAACATGGAAGCACATAAAAACAGGCGTCAAGCACAAACAAAAGATGCCCCAGGACTGTGCCTTGTCCAACTCTGTGTTTATTTCTCTCCATTTTACATTTGATGGTTTAGTGCCTCTGAGGAAAAGCCCTCATTTTAATTAGACCTGACCTGAGAATCACTTAACTGCTCCTCTTCACCAGTGCCCCCCTCCCCTCACAGCCTTTGCTCAGTTCCTCACATAGGTCCATTAACACCCTTCCCTCGGCACCCACAGGCTGCAACAGGGCGCTGCCATAGGCGTGGCTAAGAGACGTTTTGAGGACATGCCAAGAAATATTAAACTTGTTCTTATGCACTACATTCAGACACATTCAGTTATCCTCAAGTTTATGCTGTTTTAACTCTTACAGTAACATAAAAAAGCAGGCACATCTGCCCCCAACAATTCCATACTTGTTTAATGATTAAAGTTAAAATTCAAAAATGTACATGCCATGTGCAGCAACTGACTTAAAGTCGTGTGGTGTCTGCAAAGGCTCTCAAAATTATGATCTGAATATGTATCAGATCCAAACTGCATGCACACGACTGCAGGGTCAGAGGAGTGAATTTCCAAAAATCCAGCTACTTAACTCCACTTTTTCATCTTGTTACTATTATCCATACAACATATCTATAATATAAATTAATTAATTATAAAAATAGCTGACTGTGAAATTATTAAGCAGTTAATCGTCCAAACAACAAGAGGCCTTCAGCCCGAGACCTGACTATCACAGTGATATGTTACTTTAAGCCTAGGATAAACTAAGTGAAATCTAGACTCCAATACCATGCAGACAGTCAACAGTCTTTGGAGTGAAGTGCTGTCAATGCAATAGACACCTCTAAATTGGCTCTTTAAAGAGGTGACTAATTTGACAAATCCTTGTCTTATACTGTATTTGACCTCATGACCCGCCTATGCCCCCCAGAACCCCGCGGGCACATTGCCAGTCAGTTTAAAGGGTCATACAGAGGTAAGACTAATGTAATTACATAGCACCAGCATTCTTCCCAGTTTCATCCTCAAAGCAGCTATGAAAAGAAGTCTATTTTGGCCTAATATGAGAAGGCAAGACAGTTCTCACAAAGGTGCGTGCTTGACAAAGTCTCTATCACCCTAATTCAGTGTGTGAGCTGTGTCAAAGGTATGAACTGAATGACAAAATAGAGTCATGTTGCTGTGTGTCTATGAGTATGTGTTAATCTTGTAGAAACACCTACGCTCCGTACCTGCTCAGACAAAGGCTACAGGTTAATTCTGGCTGCAGGCTTTGTGCTAATAAGTACTCATCAACCGCAGTTTGAACCTTTAAAAATATCAGCCATCACTGATGTCACCTTATCGCATAACCCAAATGTAAAATGGTTATTGATTGCTTTAGAGCACATACAATACAGAGTAATAATGAGAAGAAAAATATGTATTACAACCAAATCTGTAATGTGTTATGTGAGTGAAGAGTGAAGTATTGAAGAAATTAGTTAGTAGTGTGACTATATGTGCAGTGGGGTTGATATGTAGCAGCCCACCTGTCAGTCTTCTGTCATTCATCAGAATGCATTACAATTCAAGCAAGTTAAGGCTTCACAATATTAAAAGAACAACATTGATGAGGAGGGTAGCAGCAGGTAAAGGACTTGTCTTCCAGTCTGGCTCTATATGTTTGGCATGCTGAGAGGGCTGTATTGCGTGGCCCCAGGCAGAAGAGTCCTGTAGCTTGAGTAAATGAGGTGATTAGCGGGGATGGTGTGGCCTGTCAGACACTGGGTTTAGATTCTTATCACTCTCTCATATGTCAATCAATGGGCCACCGTCACAGTTGAGCAGCCGGTCACACAGCAAGGTAAAGTGCACAGACAGCAAACAAATGCAGAAGAATACTAGTGAATATATTGATATCCAAGAAAAATTGCTCTTTTTCAGGTGCTTCCTAAAAGGGCCCATATTACCGTATTTTCTGATCTATGATATGATGCTGTTTCCAGATCACAAACATACCTGGAGTTGTGTTTTGTTTCATTAACACATTTTGTGCATGAATCCTGCATGTTTAGGCTGTCTTCCTTTCTCAAACTGAAAACACTCTGTTTCACCTTGTGATGTAATGTGTTAATACAGGAAGTGCTCCACTCTGTTTTTAAACTTCATAAACCTTCACTAGAATCATTTTGATCATTTCAGTTCTAGAATTGCCCATCTCTACTGAACAAAAGGCCAAATGTAGCTGTTAACTTGAAAGCTACCGCTTCATTACATCACAAGGTGGAACAAAGCATTTTGAGCTTTGGAGACAGACTAATAATACAGGGTTACTCAAACATTTATAAACGAAACAAAAAACTATTCCAAGTATGTTTTTGAGGAGGTAACAGTATTATAACATGACTTAAGGCTCACAAGAGTAAATTTTAGGAAATATAGGACCTTTGATGAATGGCCACTGATCTGAGAGCACAATAGAAAAAAAAAGCAGGAGTAATTACATTTGAATGACTAATCTGGGTTTTGACTTGATAGGTAGTGGTGATACAATGTTTTCTGGGAAATACCCTTAACTATACAGCAAGTCATAGCATGACATTCCAATTAACTTTATACTATGCATACTTGTGTTAAAAGGTGCATCTATGGACTTAAAGTGGCTATACACTAGTTTTCCATGTAGTTGAATAAGATTTGTCTTGCTCTAGCATCTTACTTTAAAAATTAGACTATATAGCTTTTTATTGTCTAAGAATCAAGAAGTGCGCTGTTAGTATAATAGTTGTTCACCGTGATAACAAAACTCCACTTGGGCCTGTTAAAGTTGAGAAATAAATAAAAATCTGGGATAGCTCCTTTAAGCAGCACATGTGCTTTGATACCATTTTAAGGCTAAGCACCAAAACTAATATTGGGGTCCCTGTAAAATCTTTTAAAGCAGCCCAAATAAGGACCAGTGACAAAGGTTAGTTTTAACTATGGGCTGCTGGGATACATGACCCACAAGGTTGCATGGATGCTGCAGGCCATGGCCCCTGCCCTAGCCAACACAGAGGGCTCATTAAAAGACCATTGAGGGTAACCACCTTGACATTTATGGGCCTTATAAATCTATACTGTAGTGGCCTATTTAGGAAAGAGGGAGGGACACAGAAGAAAAAGGATGGTAAAGCCTGGCAGGGTTGACTATGGGCATTGGCGGCAGAGGGGTAATTCCTCCCCCTCAGCTCCTCACTGAGACAATAGAGCTCATAGGGACCAGAGGGTGTGATAAGGTAATGATAATGTAATGAGAACCAATCATGAGCCTAAGCTAAGAGGAGGGCCCCTTAATTTGCTTCCATGGTGGTTGTTCACTGACAGATTGATTGCTCTGAGTGAGAGTGATGAGGTGACACGGTCAAAATGAATGCACCTTTGACTGCACAGGAAAGAGAACTCACAACATGGATAACAGAGAAGGTTAAAAAACATAAACTCAATCCTTTGCATAGATTAAAAATAAAGTGCTGTTAACAGTTTCTAGTCTGTCTCGTTTAGTATTTTGTATGTCATTTTGGAACAATCACATGGAAAAGTGTACGGGTCAAAATGTATTTCCAAAATGTAAAAATAAGAATAATAAGAAAAAAAATTACCTCAATGCTGAATTGTTTTCTCTTGAGCTTAAAAGCCAGGTCCTTGTGATCAGGGAATTGACTGGCCAAACAGTTTAGATGAGGAACTTGTCGTACATGCAGCAGACCTGGATGGACACAGAACAATATCACTCTAATACAGATACATTTTAAGATGGAAGAAGAATTTACTGCTTAAGTTAAACTCAAAATCTTGTTTTAAGAACACTTGTGGCTCTGAAATAATATGTAATCATGGACACTGAAAGTGCATCAGAGTAAATTATAGATCCTGACCATCAACTTATATTCCACATAAACAGTAATGAGTAAATAACTGTAGATAAAATATTATCTTTATTACTGGTATAATATTATATATTATATAATTATTATAATAATATATTTAAACACTCATACAATTACTGAAACAAACAACAAAACTGGTAAGCCACCTTCAAGTGGTTGCCACAAAGTTAGATTTGAACAAAGCAGGAAAAGAGGGGTAAAAGTGTGCTGGCATAAGTGTGGGATAGAGGAGAAGAGATGGAGGGAGTGATGGAGGAAGAGAAAGAGACAGACAAAGTGGGGGATGGTGGGCTGGGCTCTCTCCTCTGTGCACTTGGGTGATTTCCCCTTGCATGATTTGCAGTGACAGGCTTCCCAGCATGCTTTGAGCAGCCCCGAACTGCCGCCGCAAACACTCACGCACGCGCCTCCCCTCACGCACGCCTACGTTCATACCAGATGCGCTTGCACTCATGACTAACACACATTCAAATGTATTACACAAACCAACCTCTGGCTGATCTCACAAAACAAACAATTTTTGACAAGAGCAAAAATTATATTTAATATCCTGTGCTTAAGCGTAATTGATTTGTTCAAAAGCACAACCTGTTTTTATAGATTGGGGGGGAAGTGATTACAGAGATTAGGTTGGGGTAAAAAAAAAAAAAAAGTACAGGCAAGATTAAAAGTACTTGATTAGTTCTACTGACCTTTATGCATAGGCAGAGTTAAACTGATAGGAGAGAGGATGATAAGAAAAATGAATGGCTAACCCATGGAGACATAAAGACCCCTTCCAAAGCATCCTATGGCTTTTTCCTCATTTGGTCTTGTCCCTAAAAACCTAGCCTACATTTATTAGAAGCCCATGCTGGTTAGGGAGACATTGAGCGAGAGATGGAGCGATAGAAGCAGAGGGGAAGAGAGAGTGATGGTGAGGATATCGATTCCCCAGTGTTAGTCTGCTCTGGGCCTCAGGGGTATGGGCGCTGGGCTGAGGGTGAGAGAGGGAGGCTGTGCTGGAGGAGAGGAGCCAGGGACAGAGGGAGGGAGAGGGCTACGGCGTGGCAGCTGAATACCCCCCGGCCTGTCTACTGAGGAGCACGTCTGATTGAGCAGCAACATGCTAACTCGCACTGACAGCCTGGCCTGCGAGAGGGATGCCCTGCCTCCATCCACAGCCCAAGCCCCGCAACTTAATGCACTGTGTATGTATGTTTGTGTGGTCATACCATGGTAATCTTTATAGAGTGGGTTGGTCTCCCTCTCAGAGCCTTTGAATGATTCCAGTGCAATGACGGTGTCGGACAGCTTGGCTATCCTGCCCATTAATGCTCTGTTCTGTTGGAGAGATAGACAAAGAGAGGAACATGAGCAGGTAATTAAAAACCTCCCGATGAGACATCAGTGTTGCAATTAAATTAGGTCATCACATCCTATGGTCAGGTCATTCCTGTCCAGGGCTTTCAGGAGATGCTGAGACACAAAGGGCAAAGGGCAAAGGGCTCAGGTAGAGGTGACAAAGGTCAAGTAATGGACATGTAGTTCACATAGATCACTACAGAGGAAATGAAAGAGAGACAGATTTTTTTACTCCATCAAACAGTAATTTCTGTACTGAAAGGTCTGTTTTTGCTAATAAACAAAACTGTGTTTATTTATTATAATTTTATATTATTTAATATATTAAACACAAAACACCTTTTTATCATTCATTATTTGAATCATGATTGAATTGATTGTATTTACTATAATCACAGATATTGAACATTTCAGGGGTAAACTGTATTGTAAATAACAACTGCAAATAATAATAACTGCAAAACTGCAAGAAAAGAAAAAAACATAAGACAACAAGTAAAAGCACAAAGTGAAGCTGCAGAATCACAACCTGTACTGAGAATAAACTGTTAATGGAAAAGGAACTGTGCAGAAGCTTGATGAGGAGAGCTCCCCCTACTGGTTAGGTTGTAATGTGTAACTGTAAAGAGGGCAAATCAGAGAGGAATGGATTGGAAAGATAGAGGGACATTGAGAAAAGGGGGTGGGGGGGGCGCCTGAAATATTAATCTGTTTTGCCTCTTGAATCATTCACATACTTCTCCCTGTGTTGGCTGCCACCGGCTAATGCAGTTTTCATGCCTCCATGTCTTTTCCCAACTCTTTCTTCTTCCTTTGCTTTTTTGTCCTACTTTTAAAGTATGCACATTCTAGTCAGGACAAGGCACTTATAGGGTACGTGAGGTCAGTCTCCAGCTACAATGAAATAATGATGCATCAATAAAATATGAATATAATCAAGACTCTTGTTACAATGTGGTTGTTGCTTACTTGCACTATTGCATAAACCTACAGAGCTGTTGAGCACTATGGGAGCATTTGAAGGTCAGTGTTTATTTGGCACAAACTTAAGGGGTGATAAAAGGGGCATCTGTAGCAAGTTCATTATTGATAAGAGGCAAAAATAAGACAGCCTTAGGCCTTTATATTCGTGTTCCATTAGCTTTCTTCTTGTCATGGTAAAATCTTCTCAATAATCCAAATCTTCAGTGGCGGCAACTGATGTGGTACTATAAGCCACCACCTTTCCAGTTCAGTACAAACTGACCAACATTCATACCACACAGTTAAAAATATTAATTCACTGGTTTCAGTAAAAATAGAGATATCAGACATTTCTGCCCCCAAAATATATAGTAGTAATAAAATATTGTGCAATAATTATTTGAGTTTCAGTGTATTCAAATATCACATTTTGCTGAATTGTTTATTTTCATTTTTTTATTTTTATCATCAGCAAGCTAAAATTTATATATAATAATAATTATTATTAAAACACTTAATTGAAATGAAAACAAAACAAACAAACAAAAAAAATAATGGCAAAAGGATGTTTAGAAGAACAAAAGCCCAAAACATAACATAATGGCCAGAGCTACATAAGACACAGTTTTCATAGTAAGTGCAGTGGTCATGACACCACTAAATGTAAGCAGCAGGAGAGCTGTAAGTAGAGGAAATGAATGAGGAAAGTGTGCTTTTGATTAACATCCATTTACTCGTTGTGAAGGGCGTGGTAGCAGGAGCTCTGGTATGATAAAGGAGGAAGAAGCTAGGACAAGACTAATTAATGTTTCAGACGGGCTGTGGCACTGAGCTGCTGTGAGGAGCTTTCAGTGAGTTGTGCAGCTTCAACAGCTCCTAAATAATACATTGAGTCCAGAGTGGACACTGCTAGCTCACTGTTGCAAGTCTAGACAGCCCATGCACAACGTTATTAATTACATAAAGCCAAGTCATGATGAGTCACACAGTGGTAATTTCCTCAGTTGGTCTCCATGACGACTGCAGCGATAGATTGATAAAAAGGTGCATTTTACATTCTATTAATGAACTGTTTCTCATTACCTCAGTATTGGATCTAACTTTCAACATCTGATTTGACCCCCTCCCTTCTGTCTCTCATTTGCTTCTTTCTTTAGGTTGATCCAGAAGGTTGGGAGCAGATTAAGGCTTTGGGGTCTAGGCCAACAAAAGACAGGGGGAACTCTACCACCACAGCTGACAACTCTGAGTTAAACTCTCTACCTTTTCAATACAAAAAAACAACAATGAACTACAACCAGAGCATGTCTAAGGAACTCAGTTTGTAAATACATGAATCTGTATGAGAGAAGTCCAACATTAGGACAAAAAAAAGAGGTGGATAGCCTCAGCTGTTTCTGTGCTCATGTACTACTGTCTGGCGGAGGGTTGTGGTCTGCCATATGCCTTAGCAGATGACTCCACCTTCACACTGAGAGGCCAGACTGGACTCAGACTGGACTCAGACACACAAGGACCCCTCCACCCCACCCCTTTTGAAAACACATAACCTAAAGGAGCAACTATAAGCTAAAAAAAAAAAGCAAATTCTTTGGCTTATTAAAGTAAGTTCATAGTTATGTTCAGTAAATAGTAATGTACATGGTCTAGAAGTTTTGAAAACCAAGTAATTGCAATGTTTTTAATAAAATTATGGAATTTTGTCCATATACTCGGCATAATACCGATTTTGACTGTCTTACCTGAATAAGATGTGAAGGCATAGTAACTACAGCCACTGCCAGTGATGACCTCAGCAAAGCTCGCAGACCATAAAGAAAGGTTGTGAGGGCGTGGGTATGCTTTGGATTGTCACAGCAACACAGGTCATCACCCCAGAGAGATGAGCCAAGGGATTGAAGTCCAATGCGGAGGATGTTTCTTGACTTTCCCTGAAAAAAACAAAAAAAACAATGATTTTTGAAATGAAAAATAATTTATGCATACACCCATAGGCCATCCATTTTATACACAGAGATAATAAACAGCAGCATTAAATTCTGATCCAGTTAAACACAATTGATGTGAAGATTATCACAAGTAAGTGATTTCTTTGGATAATAATCAGAACTCTGAGTGGAATTGTCCATTCTCTCTTGTGCAGACAATTGGGACACCAAGCTTAAATGTGACTGGACACAACTGTCCAATCACAGAGGCCATCTGACACACACACAATGGACCTGTCAGACTGTCCTCCAATATGGCCGCCACCCAGAAAACCCCAGCACATTCTTGGCAATACAGTGGCACTCTTTAGCCAAGGGGCCTGAGTAAGGGTGGACAGAAATGTACCAACCCGCTACAAGAAATCAACAACAAAACTCAGAATATAATGTATTACTGGAATAGTAAGTTGAGTTAAAACACAGTAGCCAGTAAACCAGTTAAAACACAGTAAAAATTTGAGCCTTTACACACAACCTAGAACTTATTTTTAGGAGAAAAAAAAAGTGATTTAAAATTGGCCCATTTCGTTTGTTGCTTATGTTATCGCTCTCTACATTTTAAACCCTCACAAAATCACCGCCCTAGGTTTCACAAAAGCCCGACCTTGTTTGGATCTGGAACAGAGTTACAGGCATCTTAGAAAAATAAACACCATTGTTCAGTTCATGTGACTTTTTCAAAGCTGACTCAAAGTTTCCAAAGGAGGAGCTCTCAGACAAGATCCATCGTCCACTACACCATTTGCCATCAGTTCTAATAATATTATATTAGTGGAGCGTTATAATGTCCGGTGTCCAGCAGGGGGTCATGTTGCTGTGGAAACATCAGAGAAAGAAGCCAAAGTGAACAGTTTTAACTAGCCTATAGAATAATCAAGGGGACTGTGCCGGTTAAGTCCTGCCAACAACCTGCCATACAGCCTATGGCTCACCTTAGCAAAGTATTTCTTATTAAACATGGGGCAGGACATGCATCGATTGGAAATATTGTATTTAGACATGATTAACTCTACTGCAGGAGACAATAAAAATAAATCAAAAGCATTATCCATATCAGGCTCTCTTGTGCCAGTGCCCATGTGGCTCTGTGGCTCTGTGCATTCCTGGACTGTGCCAACAGTATGTCAGGCGGCCACACTGCTTTAATGATGTCAGCAGTTAATCTGGCGTGTGAGTGACAGCGCTTGGGGAGGAGAGGTGGGGGGTAGGCCTGTTAAACCCTCGATCTGAGTGACGGGGAGAGGTGGCTCCAGGTGACAAGCAGGGAGGTCACAGAATCTAGGTGAATAAAACACAGCAACTGTGGGATAACATGAATTATCACACACAGGAAGTAATAGATGTAAAAGATTAAGTAAGAAGAAATATTTCACTGTATTTATAATCAAAAGATACAGTGCTTTGAATAATACCATGATCATTGTGTTTCTTACCGATGAGGCCGCTACTGCAAAGCCCTCCTTCTGAATGACCTCTTGAAGTGACTTCAGCAAAGCTGAGTAGGACTCCAGCGTTGGACTAGAGGGAGAGCCAGAACAGAGACATGGGGGGACATGAAAACTGTGCAGTAATTGAGACCATTTTGATCAAACTGGGCCAAGCCCATCATGGCAGTAACCTAATCCTTTATGACTGCAGCATGTTCCTCCTGACTGTGCTTTTCTGGAGCCACTGATGCAGACAGATCCATATCAAGAGATCCAATTAATTTATTTGGTTGATTAAATTACAACATGACTGGTTCTCTTGTCAGCTCCCCAAGGATTTCATTGTGCCTAGACAGTCAGACAACTGCATGCCCAAACATTTATATGGCACTAATAAAAAGGAGAATTGGCAATTAAAAGCTCAGTATTTACAATAAAAAAGCTGCAGTTTGCAGTTTATCTGGAATAAGACATTGAGCACATCCAAATGTTTCCAAAATAGCCAACAAAAAACATTAACCCTATCTTTTTACACAGAATTGTGCTCTTAAAAACTCCCCACCATTGTAATGACCACTTAGCAAAGAGTCATACTGGGCTACTAGTCAGGTGTCTATTCAACCCCCATGCTGCAAAAGCTGATACACAGATTGGTCACACATCAATAGTCCTACATAAAGAACAGTAATACACCACTCGTCTTGATTACACTTACGCCAAGTAGATCTATGTACTCTATTTCAGTTATTCAGCGCAACAATAGTGCGTCCTGACCCTGCTGTGGCTAATGATACAGCAGGTTTGGTGAAACAGGGACACCTACCCTCCTTGGCCTCTCTGCCCATGCCTGCTCTCAGAGGCAGGGGATTGGGGTGGTTTGACATGCAGTTAGGCAGGAGGTTTCCTCTCGTTGGCAGCTATTGTAGGAGCACAATGTGTTTAAGCTACCCTACTGAGCATCACTTATTCAGGTAGCAATGAGGTCTAGGTGCATTGATTTGGAGCTTTAGTGTTACCCAACTATGATCATACAAGAGGAGTCTTTATCTTGTACTTCATTCAATCAAGAAAAAAGAGGCAAAAGGGGGTAGATGGTCTTAAACAACAGGATCTGTATCACCTAGAGAGCAATTTGTGCCAATTATGTCTTCAAGTGAAATGGTGCAATTTAACAGCAAGGGTATCAACATGGGGCTATGGCCACGTGTAAGGGGGAGTAGCCTGCTCAGGAGTCTGTGTGGTTTGTGTGAAGAATCCAGTGTTACACAGCCTGTGAGCACAATAGTGCAGTGCAGGTGTAGTTTCCTGCTGTCAAAACGTCTATGAGATCTATAACCCTTTCAGGGGTCTTAGGGCCATAATGACGGTATGAGCATGTCACTCACACCCCTTGAACAGCTGCACTTTATCTTCACCTCATATCAAACTCTAAAGAAAGCTTAATTCCTTATACAACTGAAAATAACTAATCTGTTTGCCTCACTGCTCTTTTGTTTGATGAAAAAGGAAGTGTTGTTGTATAAAGGCCCCACACCTCCTCTGTGCCCCTCACTGCTGTATTTAAACAGTGTGAGCTTCGTGTGCCCTTGTGTGCTCAGCAGCACACTCAGAGTAAAGAGTCAGCATGACCTTTGAACCTTAAGTACACTTGACGCAGAAGAAATCAAACAGGGACTGAGCAAACAAGCCCTTATTTAAATATATACACAAGCTTTACAGAGGCGTGAGTGTTTTAAGTCATTGACAAGTGACTGCAAGTTAAACTAGGCACTCATGAAGAACATGACAATTTATGTATCATACATGATTTATTATTTGTAAACTGTTAAACTCTTAAGGCCCAAAAATAGTAGATAAAAAAGTATAATATAAAATTGCAGTACATATTTTCCCAGGTATGTATGCAAAGTTCTCTGCCAGAAAATGAGTGCAAATTATGCCATATTTGTGCAAAACAACTGTAAGTTATACGACATAAGGTTGTATTTGTTTAACACTCTTTCGGGGCGAGTGTCTGGTTGTTTATACTGAGCTAATACCTTGTCATTGTACCTGTGGGATGGCGCTGTCTGGTTGAAATGATCAGGCAGATAGAAGCGGTGGCACTTGGCTGCCTGGCGAATTTCTGCTTCCATTGTCTTAGATACATCATAATAGTGGCCAAACCGAGATGATGATGTAAGAGTGCTCTGGGGAGATCAAACAAACTGCATTCACTGTCAAGCGCATACTGAATAAAACAGAAACATGTATTTGCTATTCTACTAATATTTGTTAAAAGGACTAAGGAGATAATCACTGTATTAATTTGTTTTTTTCTAAAAAGTTAAATGAGTGTGTTCCATCTCTGTGAAAATGCAATTGCATTGTTTATGGGTCATTCCGCTACGTTTCTGCATCATATAAGTTAAATAACCACTATAATTGTGTTCTCTAATCATTTCTTAACATAAACATCCACTTCTGGCTGTGAAAGCAGAAGTGTCAAGGATGCTGGGGAAAGCGGATGTTTTCCTGCAGCTGAGAGGGAGAGTTTTAGTTCTTCACTCTCAGTGAAACTAGGGATTCCATTGTTAAAGGGGCCCTTAATCTACTCTTAATCTGGATTAGGTCCCCTGGTGTGTCCCTCTCCTGGCGGGACGAGGGGGTCAACGGGGCAGTGGGGTCAGGCGCTCATCTTCTCTTTGTGAGCCTGGCAACCCGCTTAGTGTTCTTTCCCCGCCCCGACGGCCTCACCTTTGATCTGACGTCTTCATCGGCACTGACTCAGTGGGTTGTGTCAGCAGAGGTGTATGTAAAGGGAAAGTAAGCAGTGACTCTAAGGCTGAATTTGGGATGCAAATCCTCTGCTGGAGGCTTACTAGAGGTTTGTAAAGACGATTTTACAGAGTAAGGGGGAGAGGTGAAGAAAGGACACAGATATAAAGAAGTATCCAAGGAGAGAGAAAAAGGGAAGGATCCCCAGGGATGCACTGTGTGCTGTTAATCCACATAGCGATATGGATTATAGAAGTGCTGGGACTGTAGAGATGTAGTAGGAAGGGTCACCTCTCCTCAAAGCAGGAGAAAGGGTGTAGGCCTGCCGACTCTAGCAGGGGGAAAGGCAGGGATTTGGGGGAAGACAGAAGCACAGGTCTGGGTCATAGGGTTGAGCGAGCAGACATGCCATTGCATAGACTGCAGAGTACCGTTGTTTCCCAGGCTAAGCAGGGGTTCAGGCGTGTGTGCATGTGTATACGTATATGAGTTGGGGGCAGTGAAAAGCCTACCTATCACCAGCTAAGTGTGAGTAATCTGGAGGAGCTCTGAAAGGAGAGGCTGAGAACTCATTCACTTCACAAAGGAGTTTAGAAGCTGAAGGATTTAGTGTGAGGACAATTGCCAATCTAAAACCAGAAAGCTCTGGTCTGTTCTTTCAGACTCGCTGACAATAACAAAAGCAGATGTCATGAAAATAGACCTACATAACACCTCTGTTGTAACAGTGTGTGTAGAGCTGCAAAGATTAGCAATAATCGTGACTAGTCGACTACTAAAATATCTGTTAGTTGCTGTGTGTGTGAATATGAATTGTGAGTATATAATGCATTTAGAAAACTTTATTTCAGATCCCCTTCTATTTTATTATATAAGAAAACTTGCTGATTTTCTCCATTGGTACATGGAATATGATAAGAAAGTATATTGGCTGGCTAGGCAATAGTTGTTTATAAGGGTAACTTGTAATATCATGCAATTTTACAAGGCATATGGCAATACTGCAATATTGGATAGCACATAAAACATATTGAAAATTATTCAGACTACGGTGGGAAATATATGGAAAAAATTATAGTATCGTAATTGTTGTTCTGAAGATATAGAAGATTAGAATAACAAGTATATTGTCTATAAATTAAACTATTAAGTGTTTTGAATCCAGCAAAACTGTTACTCTCGATATTTTTGGGTCAATACGTAGGTCTAATTTTGATTTTTTTCCCCCCCAAATTCTGTTATTTAAATTCACTACAAACTCACAGTCCTTCTTCAGCCCTTCACACACAAAGTGGATTAAATTTTGTATTGAAAAGACTGTCAAAAGATGGGACGAAGGACTATTCTGCCTATTTCCTAATATTTAAAGTAAATTTAATCATACATTTCTTTGTTGAAGAACTTTTTTATTTTTTTGGCAAACATTAGGTTTTAGGTTTGGCCTTCGACCCACTAATGCATTCATTTTACCCTGCTGAGGAAAAAACTTTGAGCACCCTTGAAGTGTTCAAATAAAGCGTTATGCATATTCTTTAGGCAGCAGATTGGCCAAAACAAAATATGGGCCTTTGCTGGAGATTTGAATATCGCCTGAATATCGTGATCAAGATAATCCAAAAAACTGTAAAGATTCAGTTTTTTGGCATATCACCTACCCCTAATTCATCCACTATACAAAGAAAAAAATATTTAAATTAGCCATTGTTCCCTGCACTTTTGGTAGGCCTTTGGTAAATTTGATGGATTGGTCATGACATGAAAAGTTAACTGTTGCAGAATCAAAGCAAACCCCAAACTAGGAATCTCATGATCTCTCTTCTCATTTTATGATCACAATTCAATTACTGACACAATGACACAACAGTGGCACAACAGTGAAATCTTAGTTCACTATTATTCACATTGTCTAAATGATTACTACTTCTATATTGAGCAGCTTTCTGAAATCAAAATTTCTAAATGAAAACTTTGTATGTTTGTTAGTATGACAAACAGCGAGATGAAAAAAATTCAATGTTATTATTTTTTACTTACTTACAATAATATTGTGACCTGAATAATAATGATTAATCAAACAATCTTAACATCCCCAACCCTAAGCTCAAAGAAAGTTATTGCAGCATGTAAATTTTGATAGAAGTGTTGGATAAAATTCAAATGGCTAATCATGTCTTCATCATTTTATTTATATAAATCAGGTAATAAATTTTTATTTATTTATTTATGAAAAATAACAATACAAAATACAAAAGTCGTGGTGTGTTGTATTACCTGAACTTTTGGAAGATTCTGATAGCGCCATGCAATCTTCATTGCATCCAAACTCTCTTGAGGCTCAGAGGACAGCCTCGGTTGCTCCACTGGTCTAGGGACAGCAACATCATCCACGATGGGAGATGGAAGTTCCTTTCAATGATGATAATATATGGATTAATACTATGAAGCAGTGGACATAGTACTTTTACATATATTGCTCATTCTAAGAGACAGTCCTGTTGTCTCGACATGTCTTTGAAATGTAAAAGAAAGGTTGAGGCTGTGACCCCTACCACTATCAATCAGTGGGAAAGAGGTCCACCTCCTGCATGTTTAGTGCCACTCAGTTTCTGGAACTATATTCTTTTTTCAGTAGTACAATGCATCAAGAAGCATTTCAACAATTTTACAGCATGCTACTCAAACTTTCACATACTAATTGTCCCTGATATATAAACAAATAAACTAATCTAAACTCTCCCATCACAACACAGCAAAAGTACATCATCAGCAGTGGACATCCTTTATTAAAGCTGATTAAAATATATAAAAGGAACATGTACAGGTAGTGCACACAAAACAGACAAGACAAGACAAATACAAAAAACATACCTGTAATATGCCATCTGGAGAATCCTGAGCCGATGCCAAGAAAAGTTCATGTTGACACACCACTCCTTCAGCCAAAAAGTATTTTAAAATCATACGGGAGTAGCTATCAAAGCAATCCTCTTCTAAAAAACAAACATAAAATGAAATGAAAAATGAATTTACAATGAAAGCTTATAATGTACAGATAGTGAAAGTCTGTCACCATCCCCATATACAGATAAATTGAACTATATAAGAAAAACATCAACACAATGTTTTTGTTTACTCTAATAGGGCTTAACTATGAAGATCACATCTGTCAGGCTGTCTACACAGTCATTTCATCATCATGTGTTTTGCAGTTCGCCAAATCACAGTACCTGACTATAATCTCTTTAAGGACCTTTTTTAGCTGTAACTTTTAAAATTAAGTGGCATATAACAGGCTGGCAAAAGAACACAGGCGTCCTAGTGCCGCTTTCGTTTCTATATTAGACATGACAACTCCCACTCTCTTGTCAGAGTCTCAACAGTGTCCCTGTCTACTTTTACTTGCAGTAAAGGTGCAAGCAAGACACCTGTCGAGAATATTCACTGAACCCCTCCCACTGGAAGATAAAGTGGTCAAGCCGTCACGGCAGTAGGAGTATATAGGACACTGAATGACCTCAAAATGCAATCTGGTACAACACTTGTCTGAATCTCAGACTCTCTCAATATTGGACAAGATATGTACACACTTTCTCAGATGATTCTGACTTTCTGACTAAAAAATGCAACCAAATGTGACTGGATGTGCATTCGATTATAATTACACACCTCCCTCAGTATCATTAATCGCTCTAACCAGCATGCCACCTCAGCTTTTTGTCAACATTTCCACCACCATCACAACTTTGTCAAGGCTTGATAGGCCAGGCCACACAATAACTAACAGTGGGCAGAATAACAATGGCATCCATGACCGTTTAAGGTACAAGGCATGCAGCTGACAGTTTAGGAATGACATGTCATCCTGAGCATTTCTACTATTCTCCCTCCCACGTTTTCTGTAATGCCCTCACCTACGGACTTTAACTTAGACCAGGAAATTCCATGGCTCTTCAATTTGTTGTCGGTGGGGCTCCCCGTTCTCTTATTGATGGGTTTCTAGGTCAGCAGGCCTTTGTGTCTTTCAGATGGCCCCACAAAGACTCCCAGATGGGCCCTCTCAAGATGGGGCCTATTGTGGCTGTGTTTCTATGGGAGCCTTACAAATGGAACCTCCAGGAGTCATTAGGCTGTTGTGGCGGGGGGTAAGGGGAGGAGGCAAGAGGTAGCGGGATATACGAGCAAGGGGGGTAGGGGCAGGCCTTCAAAACTTTGAGGTAGATTGGCAACTTTCGACAGTCTTTAAGAATATTATCTTAACAGTATATAGTTAAGATAATATTAACAGTAGATATGGACAACTGAAAAGCTATTTTAGGAATTTTAGACAGTGCATTCAAGTTTTAAATATGCATATAAAACATCTAATTTAAGAAAAATCTTTGGAAATATTGGAGCACAGATTTTTTTTTATTCGTTTTTCATTTTGAAACTGTGATTGTTCTGTTCCTGTAGATTCTTTCTATTAATTTCTGAATATTTAATCTTTAATGGGGGTTTATGATTCAGTGTCAATCACATTTAGATACACAGCATCTTGTTTTGGTTAAATTGTGCAGATCTTGACCGTACTGCAATGATGGGTTGACAAATCAGCCTGGACAGCTCCAGACACTTCAAAGGCAGAAAGGCGACCACTGATAATTTTATGTCTGCGTCGCTCAAAGAGACCATCGTGTCTAAAGGGCCAGGCCGTAGGACGAGCGCCTGAAACAAACACAAACAAACACACACTCCCAGGTTCGCCATCACACCTCCCGCACAACCAAACAGCGCACAGCCAAGTGGGTATACACACACACAAGCCGCTCTTTCAGAGACTAACACAAGAGGAGAGCACAGACGCATTTCACCTTTACTGTGTCTCTCATTACCAGATGAAACCAACCGTACATTGATTCACAAAATGGAAGGGAAGAACGCATTAGTGTGTAATCACTGACTCCTGCATCGATTGGGGGGATGAATTAAAGGGCAAAGCAATATCATCAGTTGGTATAGGCCTCGGCTACACACAAATTACAGCATGAAGGGAAAACAAGACTACCTTAACCTTACTGTCTGTCAGCACATATAGCCCAGCCTATGATGAATGATAATAATGCTAATAACACAGTAGAAGGCATTTATGTGAGGGAAGCCACTTGTTTTGAATGCCATTTGGAAACTTTGAACACATCTGCAGAGGGGCATATTAATTAGAGCTTAGAATAAAAGTGAGCACACTTGGACTCATTCCATAGACTAGAGGTCTAGTGCATGTTTACCGCACTTGCTTGCCCAATGACACTTAACTGCACACGCAACTAAAACAAGTTGGACAACAGCTAAAAAACGAGTAAAGCATAATTGTATAAAATCGTCTTCACATTATTGCTGACTAGCATCTTTCTGATACAACATAATGTGAATGAATGTATGTACACTTATTTCAAGTAAATAAAGCTCACCAATAAGTAGAACAGCTCCAACTGCTAAACCACCACCTGTAAAAAAAAAAGGAAATAAAAACATGCAACTGACAATTATTAAATCAAATCTATCTATATATACATATTTTCTTGGAATCTCCACCGATGACAACAATCGGATTATATTCATATAATAACCCATCTGACATGTGTTTAAAGATGGCAGCAAATGTTTGCACTAAGGTTCAGGCATTTCACAAAAAAGTAAATGAAAACAAAATTGAAATTCAAAACAGAATTATCACATCATATTCATATATATTAGGACATTTAACGAGTTTAAGCTTACAGAAGCAAGACTATATTATACTTAATGTTTCAATTTTGCATGCCTTCAAAACAACAGTGTATTATGTATAAAATTACATGAATATAATGTCCACCTCCATAACTTAACTCACACAATGCTCCCTTTTGCTTCTTCTTCACTAGCTGTAAGGGCTTTGGCGATTACATTTACTGAGAATTACATGCACGTGAAAACATCAATGTAATTACAACTGAGAGAAATTAAGAATTGCTTTTCCATATTCTTCTTTATTTAGAGTAGGATAATTGTAAGTTGCCCATATTAAGTGCCACAAGTACCTAATGCTATAATGGACATCTTCATAAACGTATTAGTGAAACATGTCACAAGTTTAATAGTTCTGGATTAACAGGAGCAAATAAGCACGAACAAGCTTTACATTGGCACCATCGTGCTGTGCTCATCATCCACGGCTGTGCTAATGTTTCCCCCCATGTGTGGGCTGCGTGCTGTTGTCACTGCGCCCTGTGGGATGCTAATGCTAAAATGCTGCACTGACCGAGTAAAAAGTCTAGTGAAGTGACACCAGTAGAGACTAAAAGCTGTCCATTTTGAACCGAAGGTCTTGTGCCTGGGATAGAAAGAAGCTTGCTCCTTGTTTTCTTCTGAAAGCTCGTTGAATTTAAAGATGAAGATTTTACTCCGGGTCTAACCGCACCGCTCACGGGGGCCGCCATAATGGCAGTGACGTGCTGACGTAAATATTGGTTCGAACATGAATGGCCAATCAGAACACTCGACCGAAGACGAGATCCAATCAGCGGGGCGATTGTTCGGTGGTAAAATGTTATTCGGAAGTAATGGCTGTTTTTCAGTCTAGTTGGATCTTAAAGCTGCATTTTAACTGGTACGTCTATTATATTGTATTGGAGCGCAGGCGTTCATGTTCAATATGTTTTTAACTTGCACTTCACCAGCAGTTTCTAATGCTTTAATCTTGTTGTTAAGCGGATATGCCAGAGCCATTTGGTAAATTTAAAAAAAGCCTTTATAATAATGAATGGCAGAGTAAATTACTGTAGCTTTTCCTTGTATAGTCCTATGTCACAAAACATGTCGCCTACTAAAATTTACAAGGCTGCAGGCTGTGTTTTTGAGGATAGTTCAGGGTATAATATTATTCTGCCCAAGTAAGTTTAGTTTTTCCTTCCTCTCTTCTGAAGGGGTGAGGGCAGCTCAAATGTAGCGCTGTAGACTTGGCTTCTTTGGTGCTAAAGGCTTGTCGACATCACATAGATATTGCTACAGACGATGATGCAGCCTAGTGCTCACTTTGCCAATTTTGTTTGACAACATAGCTGAGATGTATTTGTACTGACAGGAGACCAAAAGGGAATATCATGGCTGACAATGCTGGAGAGCCTATACTGTATGAAATGACTTAGACATGCAGACTGACCTGCTTCTCCGTGGCTTGCCTAGTTCTTGGTAGAATGGACAGGACACAAAATCATTTTAATATATATATTTTACCACTACCCTGTTAGTGCGTAGTATGATAATATATTATATAAGTATTATAAGCAGCTGGAACTTTTTTTGTAAACTTGCCCTTTCAGTGTGGGATATGTGCATCTATTTAGCAGCTTACTCAGTATAGTATCTGATGTAGCTAAATAATGGCAGTAGTCATAACATGTCAACCCTTTCCTGGTTGGACTGTTTTTCTTGCTAGATGCTTATGTCTGCCATCTGTGGATAGAAAAAGAGACGAAGTAAATGTTTTGTGTCTAAGGGAAGCAGATAGTGATCTACTGTATTTGTTTAGTCCATGTTGAAAGGAATGTCATATTCTAACAGCACACACAATTAAACTCAAATTTTTTTGTGCACAGCTAATTTTCTTGAGCAGGAGTTTCCATTCATTTCTAACTTCTTTGCCTATTGACATGTTATTGTCACTACCCATTGCTTTACTTAAACCTTCTGTCAACATAGTTGTTTATGAGTTGTTTTTTGTCACCTCCTATATTGTTGGAGGAAAAGATAAGATCTGTTCCTTCAGTTCACCTGCAGAGCCAGCTGGATACTCACAAATAAAATAAGGCTTATTTTATTACTTATTTGTTTTCTAGACGTAATTGTCTGGGGAGTTCTTCAACCCACATTTACTTTTATAGGTATTCATATCGCTTAGCTATTATTTCCTTGGTCTGACCCATTGATTGTAGGTTTAAGCCCTCTGCTCTTCAAATAGTAACATTCAGCTGTTTGGTGGCTGTGTTGCTATTGGTGACAATGAAAAGAGCAATATGGAGATCAGTTTGTTCAATTAAGCCTTGGATACAAGACACTGGGATTGTCACATCTGTCATTCTCCGTCCAGCCAGGTGTCTGTGTCTAAACCGTCAGGATTAACTCTGATTGGTCTGATAGAAGATGTAGACCCCCCTCTAAGATGGGATTCCTTCTTTTTATAGCTCACATTAAGTTCAATTCAAGCTCAACGCAACAGGACTAATGCCCCACCTTCCTCTGCCTTCTGCTGCCCAGTGTTCAACATCAGAGGTGGGATCTGGCCACTGTCTGCTGCGCCTGCTTCTCCAGACTCCCTTCCATCTGGGATCCTCAGGGACAAGTGGGGTATCTGACAAGGGGCTTGTAAGCCTCTTAGCCCCCCTGTTGCCCAGTTTGCTCTCAGCCCATGTTTTCCTAATTTAGTGGTGTAAGGTGGCCACTGCAAGGTCCTTGTGTGCTATTTGGATTGACTTGGTCTTTGTTGGTCTAATAGACTGCCTATATGTATCAATTAACACAACCCAGACAAGGCAAATCTTACCTCTCTAGAGGCCAATAGCTTTCTTCTTCCTTATTGAATACTTAACATTTCTCCAAGAATGACACATGGTCTATAAATAATAATAATATTATTTATTTAGTTATATTCAAGGTTTTTGAATTATCACAACAACAATCCAGAGACAATAGCAAGCTAATAACAAAAGAATGTGGCATTTCCATTAAATAATTAGGTAGACTGGATATAAATAACATCAGTGACCTGACAGGTTTATAAAAATGGCTATGGCAAAAGGCAAAAAACTATTAAAAATAATAATAAGAAGAAGAATTATAAACAAATTATTTATATGAAAAGACTGTGTTGTTCATCTGCAATGTTGCAATGTAACCGTCCAATAATTTGTAAAGATTGAAGAAAACAAAAGAACAGAAATCATCTGCAGATCTTTGTCAAGCCTTTTTCCTAAGAGGATCATAGAGTTAAGCACACAATGAGCTGTTTCCATAGGTGGCCATTCACTGAGGATTTCTCTCCTTCTCTACAATGCTATACATTGTAGCACCAAGACAGCAGGACACTGCTGACTATGGTTCTGCTGAGAAAGCTCTAGTGACTTTCTTTGTTTTCACATGAACATGTTTACTGTGTAATCCTGGATTACACACACAGATTTTGTGTTAATTTACAGCTGTAATGCCACTTTCAATTAATTTTGCTACTCCCAATGCACAGATGAGCTGGGTATTAGCCGCACTATATTCTGGGCTGCCCACCTCAGCGCCCATGGGAATAGATATTAATAAAGATCTTATCAGTGGTCCCTGTAGATGTCCATCCCAAAGTCTCACATACACTTTGTATTAGCCGCATAGGTAATGCCATTGTGTCCAGATTCACACAAAACACACACAGACACACTATCAATGACAGGGTGCCTCTGAAAACCAGGCGGCTGCATATGGACTCACTTGATATCAGTCACTGGCCGTGTGATCTTGTTATGCAAAACCCCTTAATCCCCACCTATGATGAATGCACGCTGGAATGGAAGAGGGGGAGACACAGGAATATGAGGGCAGCTGTACTCACGGGCTGTCCACTGTGCTTTGGAATTAAGTGCCATAGCACAAAGCCATTTTCCAGTTTCTAGTAGAAAGGAGAGCACAGATGAGATCATAGATGTCTGCAGTCATGGATAAATTGGTGCGCAAGACTAATTGAACTGAACCTATATCATGTACACAGGTCTGAGATTTGCTTTAGCCTTTAGCCTGCTAGCATCCCAACAGCGGAATATGGCCAGAGGTGTTACAGTACCACAAGGGAGCGAATATATTCTGGAGATGTGGACCTTTTTATGGCATGGTTAATGCAGTTTTAATTTT